CAAACCCTTGAAGAACTTGTTCTGTTAGAAGGTGATGATCATGCCATCCACATGGAGGGTCTTATAATCAGAGAGAGAATCCTTGGAACTGATAATACAGAACTTCGCTTTCCAATTAGATATCGTGGGGCAGTGTTTGCTGATTCTGGAAACTTTGACCTGTGCATTGGTTTGTGGGGACATGCAATGGAGATAGGCCAGCATTGTAATCAGCCAATCACAGATGACTTGAAGATATTTGCAGATTTTTTTTGTCATATGGTACAGAGAAATTGTCTTCCAAAGCAGAAGTACATTGAAGAAGTGTTTGAAAGAGCCATCTGTGAGTATGAGCGTCTGACAGAGAAAGTGCAGTGCAAAAAGTTGAAAGGTGAACATGAAGCTAAGTTGCTCCGAGAGGAACTAGAAAATGTGGTCTATCGAGCATTGTATCTTTTGACAATATTTGCCAAAGTCCAGGATTCAAGGAAGAAAGAAAACTCTCATGTGTTTGACCTCATTGAGAGGTTTCTACGATTAAACCCTCGCACTCTTGAAGGAAATACCATGTTGCATTTGGCTGTTTGGTCCAAAACTCCTACCGAGGAACATTATGTTCGAGATGTCTGTAAATTCCCTTGTGTCCAGACCATGAAGCTTATCATTAATGCTGGTGGATATGTCAATGCAGTCAATAACAAAGGCAACACACCACTTCATTTAGCCGTGACTTTTAAACCCAATACTGGAGGTTTACAAGTCTTAAGGGATGTGTTGGAGACATTGTTAGATGGAGGGGTCCATGAGGACCTGGTCAACAGTGAAGGCAAAACAGCTATGGATATCGCTGAAACTGATGAAGCACGCAGGATCCTTTCTGTGAAGAGCAGACTGGAGTTGAAATGCATTGCTGCCAGAGCTGTGAGAAAATTTGGATTATCTTATTTTGGTGTAGTTCCCAAGACTGTTGAAAGATTCATTAGCTTACACTAGTTAGGTAATCTTCTTAAAGTGAGGTGGCTTGCAAAATAATGTGCTGTAGTTTTGGGGGTTTAAGTGAGCCCATAAAATATTTTAAAGTGTTTTATATTTAAGCTAAAAAGTATGCAAATAAATTACTGACTACATGTCTGTAAGGGATGACTGGAAGCTAGCAGTTCTAAGGACATTTTTCTGGAAGTCTACTTGTATGCCCCCACCCCTAAATTTTGGGAATTAGAAAATTAATTGGTTCTGTTAAACATGCAGAATAAATAAAAAGGATATGTTTTTCACAAAGTGGAAAAATGTTAAAGTTTGCCTGGTTGAAAAGTGGGTCAACTTGTGACTGATTTCTGTTCCATTTTGGCTGTGGACATGATTAATCCCTAAAAAATGTTGAATTCAAAGTTCCATTAAAGTTGTATGCTACAGTTACCAAAAACTGTTTAGTCAAAAACAGGTTTCTTCAACCTCTTCCTCCTGTCATGCCATACATTGTCTGCAACTGCTGAAAAGGTATTTTGTGTTTTTAGAAATGCTTGCATCCTTTTGTCTGCACAAGTAATTAATGCCAATTTCAGGCTGAAAATCAGCCTGTGCTTTTGAGTTTATTAGTAAGCCACCTTAAAAGAGAACTGCCATGATGTACTCTGTACATACACTGACTTCACTCTCTTAGAGACAAAGGGTATTGAACATTATAACTGAACGTGTAGTACTGTTCACAGCACAGTTTGAAACTAAATAATCTTGAGTTTGTGTATAATAGGACCAATCATGTTGGAGCAACATATTAAATGAAAGGCTCAGTGGAAAAAGGGTGTTAGGTATTTTTGGTCAAAAGTGAACTTTGTCGTGAACACTCTAAATTTTGCATGTGGTTTTGTTTAGGTGTGTTAAACAATGTCCTATATATATTTTTTTCGCTGAAGTTTCCTTCGGTTTCAATACATTATGCATGCAAATAAAACACTCTGTGTTTCCTGGCAGCATCTTCAGAAGTTTATTTGTTGAACAGCAAACAGACAGACTGTTTATAGTGTACAAAGTCAAAATCAAATCCCTCAGAATCTTAGCTGTCTTTCTTTTAAGTCAAAGGAAAATAGCATAAGTCAGAGCGCAAATCTGGGAACAGATTGTTTACATTGATTATTGTGCCATCAAACAGAAAAGAGATGTGATGCTTTTATATGTTGTTTTAAAGTACCTTGCATGCATGCTTGGTGGTTGAGAGGCATCATAAAGCCTTGATAAACCTGGACGTCATCAAATTGTCTTAAAGAAACAAAACATGCTTTGGAATTTCCAACACAGATACAATCGAGTTATTGGTGTTTGAAGTCAGATTGATCCAGGCAGCAAAGTCCAAGAACAGTTCTTGCCCAGGTTCAGAGTATCGCTGTTGTTGGTTTAGAATTATTTCTCATTATTTCAGTGGACGGTGAAAAAATTTATTTGTGCCATGAGGTTTAGAGTTGTGTTCATACAGTATTCACATTTGGTGATGAAACTTGTTACAAAACTACTCATATCAGTTCAAGGCCAAGGACTATTTTAGTCTTCGTACCAGACTTTCAAGTTGAGTTAAAATTATGCGTAAAATTACTGGACCTTTGAGGAATGGTACTTTGTTATGCACTAGGTTCAAACTATTATTTTTGTCTTTCCTTTTGTCATGTTTGCCAAGTTTGAAAAAAGTGAACAGTATTACCAGCCAATCAATACTGTGTCAATGGCTGAAAATCACAGGGCTTCAACGTAATAGGACTAATCACAAGCAAACTCAGATTCCTTAGTTCCAATCTCATGCTGTAATTGGTTAAAAACTCTAGGATGGCTGCAATTGAAGTTGCTGCACTCTTAGTTATATTTTCACTTACCTGCACGTCTGTAGGTATCGAGGAATTTAGAATAGTTATTATATTGTTGAAAATCTTTGGTACTTTTATTGTATTGCTAAGTCAAGGGAAATTGCATAATATAGCTGAACAACATAGTTGTAGTTCTGGTCACTCAAAATTTACCAGTCAAGAATATCAGAAATACAGTGTAGGACTTGTTTACAGACAAATCTGTTTTAATAGTTAACGTTGGAAAATTAATTAAAAGTAACTTCAAGTTGCAATAAAGTTGACAGGGACAGTGTTGTGTTATTGAGGTCTCAGTGTAATTCATTTCTTAATGGAGTTTGATTTTTTTTTCCAAACAATGTCACATGACTAACTGTAACTTGCTAATGAAACTTAGCTGGTTATTTTGCAAGACAATGTCTCAAATAAGTCTTTACCCTTGAACAAGCAATGTGTAGGACTTGTCAGTGGCAGATCCAGAGCTATATATCATGTTTTTTATTTTCTTAAATGTTGCAGTGTACAAACCGCCCTTGCTACAACACATTTTCATGCCTCAATCTGCTACCAGCTCGTGTATTATAGTATGGAGGTTTTGCATGGCAGCCATGGGAAAATGTTCTTTCCAATGCAAAACATTTTCATTGTTCCTGCTACGCAACATGGCTGCCCTGCAAAACCTCTATATCCCTGCAACATGTGTCTTATTCAACATGAACTAGCTTGTCCCTGCTTTATGTTAATCTTAGCTGGAACTTCATTATGAATTTAGAATCTTCCACAGATTGACCCTGTGCTGTGTCAAATGCCTTTTTGAAGTCAATTTTAAAAGTTAATAAACAGTCCACTGTCAACACTACTTGACAATCTTCTGTAGTGTAGAGTTGTGTCCAATATTTCAGACTCTACTGTATCTGAATCCTGCTTGTCCTTGCCTTAGGTTGCTGTCAATACATGTAGCTGCCTATTTGCTTATCAGGAGAACTCCATGGAAAACTTTGCCAGGGACAGATAGAGGACTCATCTCTTCTTTGTTGTGTACATTTTGGAGATCTCCTTTATTTCATGTTTTGATGATAAGGCCTTTAGTCCAGTCAACTGGGATGTATCCTAGGTCAGTTAGAATTTTTGTGGAACTATCAGTGCTAGCTTTCAGCATCTCAGCAGGGATGGACTCAGGGCAAAATCTTTTCCACTCTTCGTGGCTTTCATGGAAGTTGTAACAATACTTCAGCTTCAGTGGGTGGGCTGGTGTAAATTTCAAGAACATCATCAACTGGTGGGGAGTTGATGGGTTTATCTGGTTCTGAGTAGTTTAGCAGCTCCTGGAGGTGCTTAATCTATTTGTTTGCTTGTTTAATATGCTCTCTTGTCAAGCCAACCTTATCTTTGACCGGGACAGATTGATTAATATTTGTAGCAGAGCTCTGGTGGTCCAAAGGGCTGTCAGACGGAGCACCATAACTCTACATATAGGAACAGAACCACACGCATACATAGAAATAGAAAACCATGCAACGCCTTCTGCATGGTCAACATGGCTAACGGCATGGAATATGGGCACATGCGCCTTACGTCGAAAAATGATGACGATGTCGCACAACATGGCGGCCATACTCCCAACTAATAGGCCAACCAAGACCTACAGCCTTGATTTACCACATACATCTTTGATATTGGACATCCATGTTGTAGGCAATTGACACCTGCAAATCAAGGTATCTGCTGACCAGTATCACATGACCATATCATGGGCTCAGGTTTAGAGCTCATCGAGGTCATGTGTTTTTTGAACTTGACCACTGACCAGGAACTGGTTTTTCAATTGGATCGCAGGCTCAAGGCAGGTTAATTTATTGTTATAGGAGCTCCACTGTTGAGCTTGGCCAAATCTATATATTAGTCTCCTTCACAGCTGTTGTTTGTGACGGCTGCAAAGGAGGCTAGTAAGATTGGTTGGTGTCGTTACCACAAATATCATTGGGGATCCTGCAGATGACACTCATCACTTCCCTTGCTGCAGCTTGTCCAGCTTCATAAGGCAGCTCCTCCATAAAGGACCTCTTGTCTGTCCTTGCACTTCTCTTCACTTCCTTGTTCTCAAAGGCTTTTTGGACTTGCTCTTGTAGCCTTGGTACCTTAGTCTTTAGAATAATGCTCCACTGAAATGCTTAGTTGGAGTTAAAGGGGTCTTACATATGACTTCCTTTGTGCTACTGTCCATTTTCTGCAAAGCCTCTATACCGGTCATTTTCAAGTCAAACATTGTGGATCAAGCCATAGCTTTCTATATCAGATTAAGTTTTATCTTCTGCCTCCAATACAAAACAAGTATTTCTGTAAAAACATTAAAATGAAAATAGGCATGCCAGTAATGTTCATACATCATATTTATCAATGGTTTTCATACAGGGGCAAAAGAGGCAAAAGACAACTGGGAAAGGGACTATTGAATGTACTTTGTAGGGGGATTCATGCTGACATTGATCATTGTTTACATTTTTGCTCATTTGCATATGACTTTGTCTACGGAAGGAAACATGTTACATATGAATTGACTCCAGGCAGCTCAAAAGCTAGTGAAACCTAATACATGGTGAAATTTTGGCTCTTTGGGTGTAATATTCAAACTGCAAAATTTCTGGGTGGCAAAAGTGCCAATGAGCTCATACATTCTTTGTAAAATTTTGAGTTTTTAAACCCGTGTTGCACAAAAAGTATTCAATACATCAGGCTCATATTCATTGGCAGAGTTAATTGTACTATGACCTTTCAATATTCAGAACTGATTTATTTGTAGCTCCATCAGAAACTGAATTCCTTATGCCAATGAGGCAAATATTGGAAACAACGTGGATTCCCCTATAGCTTTATAGGAATGCACTTTAATTTCAACAGAGACATAGGAATCACCAGATCTACTCTTTTTGCCTCTGAGTTATCAATGAGAGGCAACTTTGAAGAACTTTGTCACTTTCAATATTTACATAATAAAGAAGACAAGACTAACAAAATGATTTTACTTTTGTTTAAGTGTTCAACAGTTTAATTTGGGCCAGTTAATCTATTTTATATAGAAGGCAACTTATTGTAGATGGAGCAGGTTAACACACTGCAATTAAAAGTGGTTTATTGCTAAACTATATAATGGATTACACGAGTTGTTAACAATCAAGACTTCTTTAGATGTTTTAATTTAATTACCTGGCCTGCTGTTTTAGAGACTTTGCTCCCCAAAATGAACATTTGGTGCAACTTTGGTCTTGGTGAAAATAATATCCAGAAAAAAATGTTCTAAATTTATTTTTATTAAATAACTTCAGAGATCATTGTTATTTTTTTCAAAACACCTAATTCATCAAATAAAATAAATATTGTTGTTGTAAACTGTGTTTTCTTTTCTTTGCAGTCATCAAATAATATTAAATACTCTGGAGTTTTGCATTTGCTCAAAGAGTCAGACCTGAAAAAATGCATGCCAGCTACATTATGGAAAACTCATAACAATCATGGTATAATTTGGAGAATTAATACACCACAATTAGTAACTATAGGGAGAGCAGCATTATGGTTAGAGAATCCACTGAACCCAAGGCTCAAGTTCCAGGGGAGACTACCATATGAAACAGTCAGGGATGCTCATTGTCGTGCTTAGGGATGTAAATTGAGGATTTTGTCCTCACTTAGGGTGTTCAGGACAAAACAATACTATTTTCAGCTGCCAAAGTAGGGTGCACTTGAAGAAATAACAATGATAAAACATTCTCAAATTCTCCATTTTTAGCCCTGATTTCTACTGCTCTCTCAAGTCACATTTACTAGGGCAGGCTCTTTTCCTAAACAGCAGCTGGTAATAGACCAATTTCAATATATTAAAATTCAGCCTAACACAATAGACCTCAGAACGAGGCTCTGGAGAATAAACCCCACAAACTCTATATTTATTCCCCAGAGCCTCGTACTGAGGTCTATTGTTTTAGCCGAATTTTAATATATCAAAATTGGTCTATTGAGCCTATTTCCTTTTAAGTGGTATCTTTAAGAATAAGAAGTTAAATAAAGCTTGTGCCACACCCAGATCGGTCCTCTTTCATTCAGATTTTGCAACAAGAATTCCATATCTTTTCACATGG